TATCTATCTACATAATTGAGATAATTTATCTCTAAAATTTTAGGATATTTTCTCTCCCTAGAACTTAAAAATTGAGATAGTTTCTCTCTCTAAAATTTTTAAGATAGTTTCTCTCACTAAATGTTTAAGTACTTTCTCTCTCTAAAACTTAAAATTTGAAATAGTTTCTCTCTACAAATTTTAAGTACCTTCTCTCTCTAAAATTTAATATAGTTTTAAGATACTTTTCTTTCTAAAATTTAAAATATGAGATAGTTCCTCTTTCTAATGATTTTGAGTTTCTCTTATAAAATTTAAAGATACTCTCTCTATAAAACTTAAAACTTGAAGTAGTTTTTCTCTTAGTCTCTATCTCTAAAATATTTCAAACACTTTCTCTATGTAAAACTTAAAATTTGAGATAGTTTATTTTTAAAAATTTTGATATAATTTCTCTTTCTAAAAATTTTGAGATATTTTTTTTTTCGAAAAAATTTCAAGTACTTTATCTATCTAGAGCTTAAAATTTAAAATAGTTTATTTTGATATAGTTTTTCTCTCTAAAAATTTTGAGATATTTCATCTTTGAAACTTTTCAAGTACTTGCTCACTCTAAAATTTAGAATTTGGGAGAGTTTATCGCTGTAAAATTTGACATAGTTCCTCTCTCTGAAATTAAAAATAGTTTTTCCCTCTAAAATTTTAAGATACTTTCTCTCTCTAACACGTAAATTTTGAGATAGTTTAATTTTATAAAAAATTGTAGATAGTTTCTCTCTCTAAAACTTAAACTTTGCCATAGCTCCTGTCTTTAAGAATTTTCAAGTACTTTCTCATTATAAAACTTAATAAAACTTAAAATTTGAGATAATTTCTCTCTCTAAAAAAATGATATAGTTTATCTCTCTAAAAAACTTCAAGTACATTCCTCTCTCTAAAACTTAAAATTTGAAGTAGTTTTTCTCTCTAAATTTTTGAGATAGTTTCTCTCTCTAAAATATATTTAGATACTTCTCTCTCTAAAATTTGATATAGTTTCTCTCTCTAAAATGTTAGGATTTTCTTTTTAAATTTTAAAAATTGAAATAGTTTCTCTATAAAAATTTTGAGATAATTTCTCTCTCTAAAAAATTTCGATAGATTTCGTCTCTAAAATTAGAAATAGTTTCTCTCTCTCTCTATAATTTTAAGATACTTTCTCTCTCTAAAATGTAAATTTTGAGATAGTATCTCCCTCTAATTCGTGGGGATGTCTTTGTTGAATTAACTATATTTTATAAACTGGATGTCTCTGTAATAGGGGAATCTAACTGAAAATCAATTACGGAGGGTAAAGATAATGACACAAATTTATTTATTTTTGGGTTGAAATAAAAAAAACAATTAAAGGTAAAAATACATTTAAGTCCTAAAATTTCAGTCCAAACGCCACAAATGTGTCATTTCCATTAAAATACATTTTATGGAAATATATTTTCAAGTATCCAAACGATCTCAATGTTTTTCCTAAGTGTAAGATGCACAAAAAAAACCTTAACTTTGAAAGGAAGTGCCCATCTCCATAGCTTATTTAGAGAATTAAAGAGACGATCATAAAATAGCAAATCATATGCTGATCTAACACCAAAAATGCCATCATTTTCAGCTTCGTAACGCAATTCATCATCAATGGTTTGTGAAACCCTGCATCCTCCTTGTAAAATATGAAGCAGCACAACTTCAGCAATGACAACATCACTCTATTAAGGGCCAACTTAATTATCCGTACCACACCACCACATCATTAGTATAACCGAAAGTAGTTGATCATTTGATAAAGCAAAAACAATGGAACTTAAGTGTTAAAGGATCCTCTCCAAACCACCTATAGTGTCAAAAATATAATAAATTCTATTTACCCAACACCCCACGGGATCCATTATGCATTAAAATTTTCATACTAATAATTCTTTTCCACATAGACGACTGATCTGCAACCCATCTAACCCTCGCAATCAATTGAGTTGATTGATTCTTCTACCAACACCTTCCTCCACAATTGATCCCCATAGTTCATCGATCGCCACCACCGTTTAGCTAAAAGAGCCGGATAAACCAACTTTAATATCCAATTCTCAATCCTTCATCCTTTTTAGAGGTGCACGCTCTCTTCTAATTAACTAGATGGTATTTATGGCCATCCCCTTATAAACCCCATAAAAAAATTATTATCGATTATTCAAGATGTTTATAAACAGAAGTTGGCATCTCCAATAATGACATTTGATAAATTGACAAATTGGATAAAGATAGATTGAATTAATGTCACCCTACCTTCCAACGACCATCCCCTTATGAACCCCATAAAAAAATTGTTATCTATTATTCTAGATGTTTACAAACAGAAGTTGGCATCTCCAATAATGACATCTGATAGATTGGTAAATTGGTTAAAGATGATTGAATCAATGTCACCCTAGCTCCCAACGATAAATGTTTAGCTTTCCATAAATAAAGTTTGACATGTGTTCTTTGAATTATCGGATCCCACACTGATTTAGGCAATTTAGAGCCTGAAATTGGTACCTCCAAATACTTTATTGAAAACCTTTCCACCTTGCATTCAAATTCTAAAGGCAATGCTTCCATTGTATTTTGAGAACATCCTACACCAACCAAATATGTTTTTTCAAAATTAACTCTGAAACTTAGAACCATCTCACAACATTGCAGCATCCTTTTTATTCCTTGAACCTCCTCCAAATGAGCCTCATAAAAGAGTAAAGTATCATTCCATATTGCAACTGTGAGATGATTAAGTCACTGTTATGATCAACCTTGAAGCCATTAAAGCGTCCTCTTGATTTAGAAATCATAAGGTTGAGTGCTTCTCCCACCATAGTAAACAAAAAACGATGATAAGAAATCCTCTTGCCTCGCTCTTTTTGTCGATTTAAAAAATCTTTTAGAGCTTCCATTAACTAAAACAAAAAAAAAGGGTACTGGATAAACATCATTTGATCCACAATCTCCATTCATTCTCAAATCCCATATATCTCATAATTTCTAGCAAAACACCCCATTTCACCTCATCGTAAACTTTCTCCATATCAAGTTTCAAAACAACCACTGGTTCCTTACTAAGTTTCCTTGAATGAATACATTTTTGCACAATCAAAATCCCATCCTTTATCACTATATCCTTAATGAAAGTCGTTCGTGGCCTTGAAATCACAAATACAATAACCTTTTTCAACTTTCCCTCTAATATTTTTTACAATTATCTTATAAAGAATGGTCAAAAGGCTAATTGGACGACATTCGAGATTCTCGAAACCGAAGTATGTTGAGGTATTAATGCAATGTAAACTACATTAATTCCTCTATATAGTACTCCCCTTGTAAAAAACTCATTCACCATCAAAAGCCAATCCATCTTAATGGTATCCCAAAACTGTTGAAAGAAGACCAAAGGAAACCCATCTAGCTCAGGGGCTTTATCACTTGGTAAAACAAAGAACGTCGCCGTCAACTCACTTTCCGTGACCATCCTTTCCAAATCAAGTGTCGTGTCAACATATAAACATTTTTAAGGCACACCTTCATACCTAGCTTGCAAAGACATTTCACTTGTAAATAATTCTTGAAACTGATTCACAAATCCCATCTCCCAGTCATCGGTATCACTTTTCTTAACATTCTAAAAAACAATACCTGACACATCATTTTGCCTTCTTTTAAAGCTCGTAATTGAAAGAAATTTTTTTGTATTATCATCTCACTCTTTAAATGACTTTACCCTAGATCGCTTTTTCCAATAAATTTATTCTAACTTGAGGTTCTTATTCAACTCGCACAATAATCCCAGTCTTTAAATCTCTCTATTATCATACACATTTCCACGATTTTGAATGGCCATTTCAATTAAATCAAGACAAGGCATTATTTCATCTAGCTTATTTTTAACCGAGAAGTTGTCTTTTTTCCATTGCAATAATCAATGCTTAATGTTTAACAACTTCTTATGCATTTGAAAATCAAATCATCCATATACAATGATATTATTCTTAGTATTTTTAATCAACTCCACCACCTCCTTCTGTTCCCATCAAACTTTTTCTATCCCAAATGGTTTTAGCTCCGTTAAACTATTATTAGTTTGCAAAAATAACAGAAATGATCAGATGATAATTTTGTAAATGCATTAACCCGTACCAAAGGATGACAATTCTAAAGTTAGCAAAAATGATAAACTGAACATTTTTGCTCATAATCCAGTTATTACGACAATTACTGGCCAAGTGAATTTTGTACCATTAATAGTAATATTCACCGATTCATTTTGCAAAATGAAAATTTTAAAACTCCTCACGCTAGGAATATCCATTATTCCATGATACAATGCTTTTTAAACATGTTATCAAACATGGTGAAAAGAAAGTTTGGAAAAGTTTTTCCAAAGTGTTTATATATCTAAAATGTGTCCTTAGAATACATGGGACAATTTTCTCACACCAAAACCTAAAATGTTTGATACATGTGAAAATATTTTTTTAAAAGTATTTTCACAAAAAAAAAAGGGTGTGGTTTCTATAATGTTGTAACCTCAAACAATCCAATTAAGGCGCACCTCCAAAATTTATCATAACATGTAATTTTGATGTAAAAAATTATTAAAATTATCTGAAAATCTATTTCTATATCTAATTGTAAATTTTTAAACTCAAAAAATGATTAAAATCAAGTAGATCTATAAACATATAATTTTTTTTGGAAAATAGACGGTCTAGATAATGTATTACAAGATGCACTATTTTTAGGATTCAATTTTTTTTTTCTTTTCACATTTATACTTGATATCGAGATGATCAATTTGAAGAATTTTTAACATTTAAACAACTTTTTTCGATGAATTTTTTAAGTGCATATTTAATTCTACATTTTAAGGTTAGTCCAAATATATATATTTTATTGGCATTAATTAACAACCAAATGACATGGGAAAAACGCCCACGCAGAGGAGTTGGGATTGTGCAAATATTTTTCACACGTACCAAACGTGCCCTAACCATCGGCTCCATGGTCACTTTCTACCTAAAACCCTAGCCACTCCATTTGGAAAGCCCATCTCTTCTCTCTGCCCTTTACTCGGGCCCCCTTTTTCTCTCTTCTTCTTCTCCCTCTCTCTGCAACGCCATGAGGCCACTGGACGAGAAAGAAACCACAACTGTCTTTGAAAAGCTCTTCAAATTCACAGGGAACAACTTGAAGCACATAGTCGAGCGTCCCTCCTCAGAAGGCCCTGAACAAGACCCAGGTCGCTATTGCTTCAGATTGCAAAAGAATAGGGTTTTCTATGTGAGTGAATCTCTGGTAAAAAGAGCCACAAATATCAATAGGGAGAAGCTCATCTCTCTTGGTACCTGTATTGGTAAGTTCACAAAGGGTGGTAGCTTTCATTTGACAGTTCAATGCCTTGATTTGTTGGCTGCTCATGCTAGGCACAAGATATGGTTGAAACCCACTTCTGAGATGTCTTTTTTATATGGAAACCATGTCTTAAAAAGTGGGTTAGGGAGAATTACAGAGAACATTAATGCGAATGATGGGGTTGTTATTTATTCGATGTCAGATTTGCCTTTGGGTTTTGGGATCGCTGCCAAATCGACACAGGATTGTAGGAAGCTTGATCCTAATGGAATTGTTGTTCTTCATCAGGCTGATATCGGTGAGTATTTGAGAATGGAGGATGATCTTTGAGGGGATGTGGTGTTTGTAGCGTTTTTGAACTGGTTATTATGAGGCTTCTTGTTTCCCTTTTTCCCTTCTTGTTTTTGGGATTGATGGGGCGAATTATTAGAAAGTTTTGAGCTAAGGCTGGGTTTGCAAATTTTGGCTGTCCCCATTATCTTTTCTTTTTTTTTGGGGATGTATTAGCGAGAATTATAAGTTTCAGCTACTTCTCGAATTTGAATTTTATATGATATTAGCTTTGTAAAGTTCTCTGTTTTTTTTTTTTTTTTCCAATTTTCCCACATAATTTGATTCTTGTATTTGCGCTATCTGTGGTTTGAGATAAACCGGTTCCTAGGTTAACATGGACAAGTCTTCCTCTCTCCAGTTGTTAGGTGCGCGAGTTTTGGATGATTTAGTCTTATTATCAGTTCTGCTTGGGTTATCAGAGATGCATTTTGGATACTTTTATATCATCAAGGAGTAATTGTTTGTGACTAAATGATAATTATCAATGAGGCTAAAGTTCTGGCTCTTCTTAGTTTGACATTGAGGTGTTCTTCGTCAATGCTATTTTTCTCTTTTGCTTGATAAATGAGTTATTTGATGATTGTAATGATATAGAAGGGAAAGGGCGTTGCTCCTAGGTAAATTAGGTTGAATAACTGATGATTTAGAATGAAGGTTTTTTTTGGTAATCTAATGGCAATGTATGTTGTTTTTTGATAGTGTTGACGTCTAATGATAATGTATGTTTTTAATATTTTTAGCTTGCATGAATATGATTTTCTTTTAGCATTGGTGTAGGTATTTTTATTGATTGATTGTAGGCAGGGATTCCAATTTCCATATTCTGGGTTTTTGTCCCAATTGGAAATTTACTGGGGACCTGGAAAGCCTTTTTTCATTGACTTATTTTTCGATTTCCAATTATTGGAATTGAGGCTATAGTATCTAGTGTATTATTTGCCATGCATCTCATTTTGGGATATGGATGATCTTAGGATGCCCTTTATGTCAATAACTTGTCAAAGTGGTAATCATGGAGGTGATGCATCTTGAGGATATATTTGAACTCAGTATCCTTTCAAAATATCATACTGAAACAATCATTGCTTTTAGTGACTAAATGTACTTGGACTGGAGATATATTACCCGCAGCATTCAGTGAAAGAAGATTAGGAAAATTCTTTGTGGTATATGCACTGTGGAACTCTTACTATGTGCTCTGGGAGGATTTTCTTAAGTCTTAGATGGTTTCAAAGTTGGTGTCTTGAAGAACATTGGCTGTCTAAAATCTTAATTGTACTGTACAGTCAACTTTTGGCTTGGCTCCACTAAGCCATTGTCTTGTTGAGTGTCCCTTTGCATAAAAGCAATGAAATATGTGGTGGTCATTGGAAATCATTCTTGTCCAACAAAGATATGGTGGATTTGGACAAATGGTTCATTCCATGTCAAGTTCGATTCTTATTTGTCATTTGGAGATTAAGTCTTGCGATTATTGGAGTTCAAAATATTCCTTTTGATGTATTGTTAATGAAAAGAGTTTCTATCTTCTGATTTTGGAAGCCTCAATATCTAAGTAGGGCAAAGAGCAGTAATTTGTGGCTATGGAGTTTTGACCAGTCAATGATTGGCAGTTTTGGATGCTCGTTCTAGGTGCGCATGGATATAGTTCCATGACTTGTCATTGAATGGTTGGGATATTAAGTAGGATCTTCAATGGAGCTGATTTTGTCATAGAAATCGATTAGAAACTCTGGTACATTGCTTTATGTTGATTTAAAAAATCGATTAGAATTTAGAAACTCTACATTTCTCTATGTTGATTTTAAAAATTGATGGACAACTCCAAAACTTGGTTTTTCTAGGATTTATGTTATATGGGAGCATGTTTCCAATCAGTACATGTATTTTCTTTTTTGGTATTGTCTTCATGCTTTATAGAGCTGTGTTCAAGTATTAGGAGATTGTATTTTGGCAATTGGTTATTTTTTAAGGTTTTCATGGGTAGTTTTCTTTTCCGATGAGGATGGAAAGACCCACATTAGGGTGACAAATAGGTTGTGTTTCTAATTTTAGCAAAAAGATATGTTCGAGGGGAAATTCAGGAAGGTTTACTTCTGGGTCTTTGCATGAGGATGAATTTTCACTTCTTGAAATTGAATATTGAACAACCCCTCTTGGAGGTTATTTTTGGCGGTTTAAAAAAAGGAAAAGAAAAGGAAAAGAGCTTGTTTGGTGGTTTAAAAGACAAGGACTTTTGTGGTTTTCTAAAAAGGTTGTTTTTAGCATGGGTGGAGTTCGAATCTATGACCCCTCCATATTGCATGGCTACCTTTCCACTTAGCCACCTTGACATAAGTGACAAAGTAGCCAATTCCGTATTCAGAAGCAGTAACATCATCTGACACATATGGTAATGTGTCATTGACGTGTCTAGCATGTGTTTAAGTGTCGAGGTAACTCTGAGAGTGTGCATTATTTGAAATTTTAATAATATTTGTACATTGTGAAATTTAAATTGTACATGGTGGGATTTGAGTTTGAGAGAAAAATAATAATAGTTCTATTAACACAATTTTAAAAATTATTAACAATAATAAGCAAAATATTACTAGTATTACTAATAAGTTTAAAACATGCTTTTTATCTTTTATTTCAAAAAAAAGAAGAAGGAAAAAGTAATAGGAACATGTTTTTTATCTTTCTTTCACAAAAAAAAAGGAAGGAAAAAGAAATAGAAACATGTTTTTTGTCTTCACTTTCATAAAAAAAAAAAAGAGGAAAAAGAAACATTTTTTTTATCTTTTCTTGCATGAAATAAATTCTTATTTTGAAGTTTGATATTTGTTATATTTTTAGTTTTTATTTTTATTTTTTATATATATATATATGGTTTTACTGACCTGTTGGGTACGGGGTTTTAGGTTAGTGTAGTAGACATGAACTAGACATGGCATCCACTTCTATGTCCATGTAACATATATAACCGATATCTTGTATGATGGGAAGGATGCCCCTTAACTGATTTGACATGATTGATGAGTTAGTGCTATAAAACTTGATGAAGGGATATGTCATCGAATTGCTGGAATTAAGTTCCCTCCAACATGGGGGATAGATTGTGCACGACCTATAAACTTGGTTGTTTCTAGGAAGTAAGGCATGTGGGTTTATACTTACTTTGGAAGTAGTGCATGCATTTCTTTGGTATTGTGTTCATCCATTTATGACTTGTGTTCAAGCATTGGGAGCATGCATTTTGGGGAATTGATTTATGGATTTATTGGGGTTGCATGGGTGGGTTTCTTTCCCCATGAGTAGAGGAAGACCCATATTAAGTTGAAATATAAGTTGGGTTCATAGTTCTAGCAAAAAAAAAAGCTAGGAGGGGAATTTTAGAGGATTTTCTTTTTAAGTGGTTCTGTGGGAGAAGAATTTTGAGCTTTTGAAGTTGAATATAGAACGGTTGTAAAAGGTGTTTAGCTTCTTTTGAGGTCCCTTCTAGTTGTTGATGATCTCTCTATTATGCTGAAGGATCTCTATTGGATTTTTGGTTTTATTTCATTTCCTTATTGAATTGTTTCGTCCATTTTGCTGTTGTTTTCTGTTACTATTCATGTTAATTGATTTTTAGAGAGAATATCTTTCTCTATTGTTGGTTTACATCACAAACATTGGTAAACCTTGGTTTCAAAGATTGTGGCATGTTGGCAAGATTGGAGATGCATTTGTAAATATGATTACTTGGTTGATACTTCGTAGCGTACTAGAGTTATTGTGGCTGGGTTGGTTGACACAGGGAGCTTATATAAGGCATTTGTTTATCGAAGGGGCTGGCAGCGTTGTGAACCGCTGCATGGGTTTTCAAAATTTTCTCTGATCAGGATGGTGCTGTTATATTTGACTGAGAATCTGATGGGATTACCTCTTTTCAAACACCCAGGGGAGGTGGGACAGATGAGAGTGCCTGGTTCAGTGCTCGTATTTTTTCACTGAGTCGTGTCAATAAGGGGGATTGTGTGGGAGTTTCAGATGAGAGACCTGGTCACTTGCTTGCACATGATCTGGATTTGTTTGCCATTAACTTCAGTTTGTATCTTTGATCACTGGGCCAACATTTCTTTTGTAGTAATGATATGGTCGTTAGCTCTTAAAAGAGCCAAAACGAGGGTTTAATTTAGGGTTTTCTACTTACAGTTTGTCAGACCTGGATCGGGAATCAACCGGGACTGAACCGGTTTCGAGAAGGTATGGCTACCAGTCAGGTCACCCCTAATATTTTCTTGGATCTCCCTTTTAAATCCTACCCCCATAGACCTATCGCTGTAGACCCCTATTTTTATTTTTTTAATATTATCTGGATCGCCGGACCGATCCGTGATCCGACATGCATGTGCAAGGGTGGACGATCCACCCCAATGATCTGGGTTTTGAAACACTGGTTTTAAGAATTCTAATTCAGATTTGCTTCAGTTCTTAAGTAACCAAATTAGCAAATGGTTAATAGGGAGTATGTATTGCACATAAGCATTAGAATCAGATTCAAATTGCTGCATCATTTGATAACTCATCGTACTAATCGAAGTTGTTCTCATGACCAGCGTTTTTTTGACATGGTGATGCTCCCTTATCTGCCAGAAGTGTTGTGAAAACCTTTTGGCCTCTAGCCTGACACTGCTTGCACAAAGTTCTGGACTTACAGACCATGCTAGCATGCTCTTATGATAACTTTTCTCTTTTGGTTTAGGAATTTAGGTTTTTGCATATAATCTTTTGGCTTCTGTAGTCCTTTGCTAGAATTGCAAGTTGGAGGCTATGGTAGACGACGTTCTGTCATTATTCCATGGTAGGGAACTCTCTATTATTCTTGTTGGGACATTTTGAGGTTCTGCTTTGTGCACTATTGTAGATGCCTGAAGATCCTTCTGCTTTCAAGCTTCAATCGTTGTAGTTGTTATCGCCAAACCCGAATTCTAACATCTCTCGAACCACCCCAATCCTGCTGCTACCACATTGCTTGCGTAGCATAGAATTATGTTCCAATTGTTTAGGAGGCATTTTTTGCACCTTCAAATTGTTTATGGTGCTGTGCTTTATTTGCTCAAAAAAAGGCTTTGCTTGTTCAGATAAAGCATTCCTTACCGATTCAACTTTTTGTTGCAGTAATAGAAACAAAATGTGGACAAACTTCAAAATGTTTTTAGGGGATGTCAGGATTTTTCGATGTTGCAAGAACAGGTTATGATTATTTAAGTGCTT